ACTGCTTTGGTACAAGAAGGAATATTATCCCTCACTGGATTATGTTACAGCTTGGCTTTTGGTTTTAAAAGACATTAAAACCTTTTCACAGGCCCCTAAAATGATCCCTAAACACTCAGCTGACTGTGCATAGTGGAGAGGTCAGGACTGAACGATCGAGCTTGCGATTCTAAGCATTTGTTATTACATGTAAATTGCACACAAGCATTCATGGGGGACATGATTTCGTCCATTACAGAGATGGGAAAGCTGAGGCTCAGAGAGATTAGCCAGCTGGCCCAGGAGCACAGAGTGAACCCACGGCAAAGCTCATGCCTGCACGAGGTTTGCCACGTCATCACGGGAAGTTCCAACGACAGCTCTCTTGGGCTGCACAGATGACAAGTTCACGTGGCACTGAACTTGTCACAGTGTCAAGATGAATGTGTGTCTGGCGCAGGGATGGCAGATGGGACAGAGAGAGTGGGAGACTCAGATGGATTCCTGCTTGACTCCCGGTCCCGGAGTGGTGGCGATGGATGGGGACAGAAGAGGGGTCAGTTCTTTGCCCTTAGACTTGAACTTCCAGGTGAAGCTGGTGGCCCCTGGGTCTATGGCTGCCCTTGGGGTGGAGACTGGGTCTATTTATAAGCTGCACGTGATCCCGCCCAGCTCCGAATGCAGGTGGTCGGTGATAAGGTGGCTGCTCCGTAATGAGCTCAGTGGGAAGTTAATAAACACCATTGTACTCAGAGGGCAATGGCAGACTTGAGCACGAAATAAGAGAAATAGCCAAGGGGTGGCAGGACCCCTGAGCTGAGGAGCAGCTGCGCCCAGATCACCCCCGCCCTCTGCCCCCACCACCCACACAATGTCAGACAGCCGTGGCTTCCTGCAACGGCTCAGCTGTTCCCTGGGGTGTGACCTGGGGCATGTGGCTTCTGGCTCACGGCTGCCTCCCCCGTAGAGTGGGGCAAAGGGGAGTCAAACAGTTACGGCACCGACATCCTGGGTGGCTATGATGCTGAAGCCTGGTGTCCCGTGGAGGGCCAGTACAGGGGGCCTGCTCTAAACAGCTCAAAGGCAGGATCTCTTCTGCTGCAAGTGAAGGACTGGAGGCTTATTGATTCAGCCCCCAGGTATTTACTGAGTTCCTGCGAAGCACTGGGCTCTCAGCTTGGCGCTGCTTGTGTGCACTGCTCCAGACAAGTCCCCTGGGCCTCGGTTTGAGAGGAAGGAGATGGATAGTAACAAATAAACAAGGATTATCCAGGTGGCTCAGTGGGAAAGAATCCACCTGCCAAGCGGGAGACTTGGGTCACAAGGGTTCGATCCCTGGGTTGAGAAGATGCCCGGGAAGCTGGTATTGCAACCCACTCCAGTCTTCTTGCCTAGGAAATCCCACATCCAGAGAAGCCTGGAGGGCTAAGATCCGTGGGGCCCCCAAAGAGTTGGACATTACTTAGCGACTATATAACAACAATGCAGTGAGTCAGAGTGAGTGGCAGTGAAGAAGGGCAGGGCGAAGTAGGGAGCTGCTCTTTTATTGAGGGGGGGCCTCAAGGAAGGATGCTCTAGTAAGGTGACCTTTGCAGAGAGTGAGGGGACAAGGCATGGACATAGCTGGAGGAAAAGCACTCCAGGCGGGCAGGTCAGCAAGGGCAGAGGCCCTGAGGTGGGAAGGCGAGGGTGGGTTTGAGGAAGGAGGGGGCCAGGGTGGCCAGAGGCAGGGGCGGAGAGGGGAGGTCAGAGAGGTGATGGGGGCCAGGTTGGGTGGGGCTTTGTTAGAACTCTCCTTGGGGGAAGGTCTTGCGGTGTCACTGGCCTCTGGCCTTCAGGTGTCAACCCCAGGGATGGGCCAGCCCCAGAGGGCCACCTTGCCCTTCCTTGCTGTCCACATCCAGTAACTGACAACAGCGGGTGTAGGGGCCTGGTCATTTCCCCAGCATGGGCTAACTCCGATGGGCCATTCTGGCTATGGGTCTTTCCTGGCCCCGCCTTTAGGCCTGGGTCCTCCCCCTGCCCAGCCCTCCCCACCTCCCTTCTGACTGCACTGATCCAAGGGTGCATGATGTCTAACCCCATCTCAGTTTCTCCTTTTAGAAAATGGCATTGATGACCCCAAAGTCTCTTCCATCTCGGCATTCTGGACTGTGTGATAATGTGCGGAGAATATGGTGGATGCCTGGCCTCCAGATATTGGGAGGCTTGCAGTGTGGTTCAGGAGCAAGGTGACAAGTCCCTCTCCCAGGTCTCACAGCCAGAAATATGACCACTATCAACAGGCACTACTGCTGTTACTGCCAATAAACCACACAGATGGGGACAGAAGTCCACCTGGTAAATAGTGGAAAAAAATCTCTTGTTTGGTGCTCAGAGGGGTCTTCTGGGGCACAGTCTTCCCAGGACTCTTGGGATCCCCATGACCGCTTGAATTTAGTTGGGATTCTCTCTTTACCTCTTGTTGGGCCAGTTCCATCCTGGGTGTCGGGGATATGGCTATGACGAGAGTCAGTCCTGTCCTTGATTTATAATCCAGGAGGGGAGACAGACAAGTGGCAGATTGCAACCTAATAAAAAGCACTCTGATGGGGGAGTAGAGGGGCCTGAGATACGTTGGGAGGCTCCTAAATTAATCTGGGGGTGTATTAAGGGAAGACGGGGTGGTGTTCTAGTAGGAACAGAAGCGTGAGTAGGAGTTAGCCAGGGAGGGGACAGCATGGCAGAGTCCTGGACGGGAGGGAGAGCGGGGTGGCTCCTGGAAGTTCAGGTGTTTCAGAGCAAGTCTTTGGCCTCTTCCTCTTGTGGCTAAAAAGTTGCCCAGAGGGCCCCCATTACCCCCAGGATGGCCTTTGCCACACAATCTGGAATGTTGAGATGGCATCAGCCTTGAGGTCATCAATCCTGTTTTCTAAATGGAGAAACCAAATCCCAGACAAGATTGGCCCATGGATGCCCTGCACAGCAGGGCCCTGGTGTGGAATTCAGGCTTCCCTGCCTTACACACTGAGGGTTCATCCCTAAAGTTTTGCCCATGGTTTGAACAAGCAGCTAAAACTTGGCTAAAGCCCCCAGTGTGAGCTCGGCACATAGTAGGTGCACAGTTGGCATCAGTTCTCTTTCATGTGTCCTAGCTCTCTTTCCCCTCTCTGGCTGTGCTACCTTCGGATAAGGTCTCACCCTCTCCGAACCTCCTCTGCTTGATGGGAAGGTGAGATAACCACCTGGGGTATCTTCTGAGGCTGATGTTCTGAGAACACACAGGAACAATTATTTGGCTGCTAGGATGGTCACATGCTTCCATTTCTGGTAAGATGTTTCTGCCTCAGAGCAGCCTGGGATGTTTTACTTTGCTGGGGTGTAAACTGGAAACAGAGGCAAGGGGCCCAAAGGGGGAGAATCCACAAAAAGCTGAGGCGGCCCCACGGTGTTGTGATTGCATTTGGGTTTCGTCCCTACAGAAGAGTCACTGCAAAGCCAGCAGCTGTCTGTCCCCTTTGAAGAGCCTTCTGGGCAGCCACCATCCATCACCCGCTTGGCATGACTGTTAAGTACCAGCGCTCAGCGCCGAGGGCTGAAGGAGGGGACTCTGAGAGGGGTCAGCCCAGGGCCAGGGAATTAGAAAGAGGCAATCAAAACAGAGAGGCTGGCGCATACTGGTTAACACGCAGGCTGTGAGCGAGGTGGCTCTGGGTCAGATCCCTGCATGGCGGCCACTGCCGCTCAGCTGCCTTGTTCTGCTCTGTGGGTTTTAGTAACAGATTCTTGGTCTTCCTTTGTGAGAAGGCTCCTCTCCTACACCTTACACCCATCCCAGACTCAAGTGTGGGCAGGCGACCCTGGCCTGCACAATAGTACCTTGCAACCCTTTTGACCACAGAGAGCAGGTTAGATGGTCATGTGACCCCAGGTTTGGTCCATTGAGACTTGCATTTCTGATGGTGGTTGCTAGGTTGCTTTGGGGTACACCTAGAGCTGCTTTTGGTCATCTTACCTCAATGAAGGAGAAGTTTCCTGGGAGTAAAACTATCAATAAACAAAGTATATCAAGAGATGGAGACAGATGCCTAAGTGCCTGGATCCAGCCATGCCTGATGCTCTTCCTTTATATTTTTCTGCCACATGAGCCTGTAAGTTCCTTTCCTTACAGTAAGGGTTTTTTGTTTTTAATTGGATTTATGTCCAAGAGCAGTCACCGGTCCCCACTGTTACACTCATTTGGCATATGATTTCACCTCTTTGGACCTCAATTTTCCTACATGTAAAATAGAGATGACAACAATACCTTGTAGGGTTAATATTTAGGTTAAATGAAATAGTGTATGTAAAGTGCTCATCACAATGTCTGACAATAATTAATGCTCAATTCAGCTATAATTAAACAGTTCTCATCCTGTTAAGTCTACAGAGCCCTTTCTTGGCCCCTTATTCTCACGTGAAGGGTTCCTGTGAGGCTTAAACAAGGTGTCATGAATGCAAAATGCCTACCGTTCAGTCTGGCACGTTCAGCAATGGCTGTTCAGGGGTTTTTCTGGTGAGCAGGTTATCGAAGCCAGGGTGACTGAGAAATAGGTGAATTGCAAGGACTGAGGGGACAGAAGGAGGGAGAGGCGGTCTGAGTAGGACAAACGTTCACTATGGGGACGTCCTGTGGGTCCCAGCAGCACATTCCCCTCGTTACCCCCGAGCTGTATGCTTCAGGGGCTCCCCTCTGAGGGCCGCTTGGGTCCTTCTCTGGTGGTGGGTTGGCTATATGGCCAGTCTGGTAGGCTTGACAGGCCCCCGATCCAGCTGGTTGCCAGGCTTTTCCTGTGTGGAGGCTGCCAGCTACTGGTTGGCAAAGCTGAGTCACGAGGTGCCTGACTACAGAACCTCAGGGGATGCTGGTGCTAGTGCTGGCTCACTGCGGGCTGAGTCAGGGTCCAGAAGACTCTGAGGCTATTGCCTGCCCATTGGTGGGTGAAGTCGGGTCCTGGGGTTGCTGCCTCACTACTGGCAGGCAGAGCTGGTCTTTCTGGGATTGTGAGCTGACCGGTTCTTGTCAGAGGCGGCTGTGGGTTCAGGCTCACTTGACAGCTCGCTCGACAGCAGGTGAGTGAGGCTGCGTCCCGCCCAGTTAACTGCTTGGCCTAAAGTGTGGCAGCACTGGCCTGAACTGCTTGGCCTGAAGTGTGGCAGGGCCAGGCCAGGTCTTTGGCCCTAAGGAGCTGGAGGCCGCGTCAGCCTCCTTCAGTGGAAGGAGCTCCCAAATATGGCTTCTGTCAGGATGAGCCCGTCTCCCGGCCTCACCCAGAGACCCTCCAAGACCAGCAGTTAGGTGTGGCCGAGGCACTTGTGCCCTGTGCTCCGGAGCGTGTGAGGTTGTCTGCACGCCTCTAAGAGTAAAGCCACTATACCCCCCGACCCCCGGCTCCAGAAATAATGCCCTGCTAACCTTCAAAGCCAATGCTCTGGGGGCTTATCTTCCTGGTACAGGACCCCTGGGCTGGGGACCCCGAGGAGGGATCGAGACCCCTCACTCCTGTGGGAGAAGCGCTGCAGTGGGTCACCCTCCTGGGGTGTGGGATTTGGCTGTGTCACCGGTCCACCCTTCTTGCCCGTATCACTGTGGTTCCTTCTTTAGTTGTAGGTCTTTTCTGGAGAGTTCCGGCCTTTTTCGTCCGTGGTTGTTGTACACAGTTGTGATTTTGGTGTGTTCATGAGAGGAGTTTGGTGTGTTCAAAAATTTTTTCTACCCGGTCAGCACGGCTGATCTCTCCTATAAACGCTTTGATTGTTAATTTTATGTGTTAACTTGACTGGATCATGGAGAGTCTGGACATTTGGTATGACATTCTGGGTGTGGCTATGAAGATGTTTCTGAAATTCCCAAACCGGTGATAAGTGCAATTGTTCTCAACAGAATAATGGTGCCAATAATGCTGCAGAGACGTCATGTTTTTCCCCTTTGTTTTCATCAGGGCCCATCTGCCCCTCTTTAGAACATTTGTGAAGGAGAAATGTGGCGTGTATCTGGAAAAAAAAAAAGGTATATATTAAAAAAAAACCCACAATACAAAAAGATACACGCATTTCTGTTCATAGCAGCATTATTTGCGGTTGCCAAGGTATGAAGCAACCTATGGACTCATCAATAGATGGAATACTGCTCAGCCAGAAATATTGCCATTTGTGGCAACATGGGTGACCTAGAGATTATCATATTGAGTGAAGTAAGTCAGACAGAGAAAGACAAATACTATATAATATCACTTACATGTATAAAGCAAACTAGTGAATAAACAAAAAAGCAGACTCATGGGCATACAGAACAAACTAGCAGTTAGCAGTGGGGAGAAGGACAGGGTAAGGAACATAGGGGCAGGGAAGTAACAGGTACAAACTATTAAGTATGAAATAAGCCACAGGGATATATTGTACAACATGGGGAATATAGCCAAAGTTTTAGAATAACTGTAAATGGAGTTTAGTCTCTAAAAATTGTGACTCACCATATTATACATCTGTAACATATAATATTGTGCAGCAACTATACTTCAATACAAAATAAACTTATACTAAAAATGTATTATAGGACTTGCAAATATAAGACAGTTGAAAAAAGAGACTAGAGAAAAAAAGAAAGTGTTCTTTGTCAGTGTTGTTTGGATTGGCTCTGTTGAATTCCATGATTTTTTAAAAAACGTTCTTTATTTTGGCCATTCCTGTTTATGCCCCCACCCCTGATATTTGGCTATTCTAAATGATGTTTCTGGAATGTGCTATTTTTTTTTTTTCTTCTCTCTTGGCCCACATGAAGGAGAGCATTCTGTCCTGTCCTCCTTTAATTCAAATCATCCTTGAGGTTGCATCCTCGATGCGCCTCCTCCAGGAAGTCTTCTGGGATGCACCAGTTCTGGGTCAAGTGCCTCTCCTTCCTGTAGAGCCTTGTCCTTCTCTCATCACGGTGTGTGATTAGTATCAAACGGCTTGCTTCTAGCTGGACCAGGAGTTCTAAAGCTCCCAGGAAAGCATCCTATTCATAGCTGTAATGGGTACAATGCAGCATGAAATAGGTCACACTGTAAATATTGAATAAATGTTGAATAAACACAGCAACACACATCCTTGGATCATTGTAGAGAAAGTACTGTTTGATAGATGATGAGCTTGAGACTCAGAAAGGCAGCGAAAGCTGAAATGAGGCAGAGCTGTGTTCAGAAAACAGTTTCCTCTGATTCCAAGGCATTGTTTGCCCTTTGCTGTACTTCCTCCATTTCAGCACCTCGGGTTGCCTCTCCCATTCCTTCCCCCAGCTTCCCAGCTCCTGAAAAAGGATAGAAACAGAGGAAAAGAAGCTGGAAAGAGGACTCTGTAACCCAGGAAGCAAAGGCATCACCTGCTCCAGCAGGCGAGGAGCCGGGGATGCTTACATGGGCCAGCATTTCCCGTTATTTTCTTCCGGAGGAGGACTTGGCCTCCTTCCCTCATGCCGGGGACTCACAAAATCCGATTTGAAATCTACTCAAGTGTACACTAACCAGCTTCCTCTTGGCACAGGCTGGAGAGCCTATAATTAGAGCAGACACCATACCAGTTAGCGGGTTTCATTCACATGAACAGAAAGTGTGTTTGCAAAGGGAGATGATGGCTGGAGGAGCAGACTTGGGAAACTTCTCTGGAGGGCTTGCACCTGCCTAGTGCCAGAAAGATGCCTTTCTAAGTTCAGAGATTGTGGCTGGCTGAATGTGAAACGTGAGCGGGGACTCTGGGAAGGCGATGCCTATAGTCCTTAAATACATTGTGCTTGGGCTAGGGCACAAATATTCAAACCCCAGCTCCAGCACTCAGGTAAGTAATTCAGTTTCTTTGAGCTGTAGCCCATCTGTGCAGTTGGAACTTCATTACCAACTTCAGAGGTTGTGTCATCAAGGTCTAGATGATGAGATGGTGTATACACAAAACCAGAGCAGGTGCTCAGAGACAGTAATAGTGCTTATTAGTAAAACCACTACCTCCACCAATAAAATGATCAGCATTTATTGAGTGTGTATTATGTACCAGGCCCTGTTCTAACACTGTACATGTTTCATTTTCACAACAGTTGGTAAGCAAGGTACTTGGGAAAACAGACCCAGCAATGTCATGCCGTTTGTACAGGCATCACACAAGATGGTAGCTTTTCACTAACACTCCAAGGGGTGGAGAGAGCATGGCAGTATAAGACAGTGTGTGGGGTTGTCTCATGAAATATACAAACTCATCAGTGCTGGGGTCCACACTTTTTCTTGTTAGGGTCCTAGGAGAAAGGGGAGAGAGTTTGCAGTAAACTCACTTATTGGGCGCATCTAGTATAATCTAGATGCTTTAATAGGTGTTATTTTATTTAATTCTTCTCTGGGAGTCTATGGATGTGAAAGAATAGACTCAGAGATTGATGTCTTTTGTCCAAGGTTATGCAGAGCTATGATTAAAACACTGGACAGACCAATCCCAAGTGAACTGCTCATTTTATAATACTGCAAGATCACCCAAGCCTGTCAGGATTCTCTGTTCTGTTTGTTTACATATATCATTTATGGATGTTAATATAAAATCTGAAAAAGATTGGAAATTTAAGTCCTATCAGAACTCTTTTTGAATGCAGAGGTTAGCTTAAGGGAAGAAAGAACTTTTTTGGATCATCAAATTGAAAGCTTTTGAAGCAGGCTTTCAGGCAAGGCTGAATCCAGGTGCCTGAATAGAGCACATAGGCCTTCATCTATTAGCCTCTCTTCCCTCTGTGATGTCTTCACCTTCAATAAGTCCCTCTCTTTGTAGTGAGATTTCCATTGGCTTTATGGTATCTGGCACAGGCTGCTTCCCCCGCACCTCCCACCATTGGCTTCATTATCTCACTCCAAGTTAGACCACAAGGTGATGTGATTTGCGTGGGTTAGCCTTCTCCTGGGTCTCAGAGCAGAGCAGGGAATGAAGGAGAATGGGATTGAGATGGAGGCTGGAAGGAAGACAGCCAACACTCTTTCCTACTCCCCATCTCTAGGATCCAGTCTTGATCCCTTAAGTGCCACAGGTTTTCTGCCAAAAGAGGAGACTGCCCTGAAGGCTGGTTTTTATCCTAGGGATTGGATGCTCATGCCCAGGCATTGGCTGGCCCTCCTCCTGGTGGGCCGGTCGGGAGGAAGCATGCACAACCTCCCTCTGGCTTGGTCGCTGTCAAGACCCAGGGTCCCACCCCTCGATGCCTGACTTTGGACTCCTCCCTCCCCCAACACCCCACTCACTTCTTGTCCAAGTCCACCCAACTTCAGTAGCCTCCTTGGGCTCCATTTCTTTCTTGCTTGTACCCTGGTACTTAGATCTTTTTCTGTCCTACCATGTCTGTTCCTTGCCCCTCCCTCACCCAGCCCCCTCAGGGCTTGGCACATTAAGTCGCCTCTGTCATGCTCCCACCTCTTTCCAGATGTGGCATCAGGGACCAACCTTCCTCATTCCTTCTCTGCTTCTTTGGCTCTTGCCCAGCTGGACACCATTCACCTGCTGCGTGATCGAGGGCCAGTTACCTCTGCAGGTCTCGGTCTTCTCAGCTGCGGGAATGGGGGCGATCCCTTCTGATCAGCTGGCCTGAGCTTGGCGATCGTATTTACAGTAACACGAGCACAATATGTGAGGAATTACCAGGAGGCTCTGGGCTGCCGTGAGGCCGGATTTGTACTGATATCGCCCCATTATGAGGTGTCATGTTGCATTTGCAGGAGGTGGCTCTCCTGTGCTGTATGAAATACTCACCCGCCTCCCCTGGAAGGGATGAGAGCGGCTCTCTGCTTCCTGGCCGCTCCACTGTGGAGGGAGCCAAGCCCCAGGCTGTCACTAACACAGGATGACACCAGGACCCAAAGCAAAGCCCTGGGCATCTGGGATAGAGGGGTGATGCTGGTGGGTGGTGCAGAATGGATGGAGGGGACCTGTTGTCTGTAACAGTCCAGGGTCCATCAGAGCCTCTTTACTCACCTTTTCCCCATAGGCAGAGACACTTGGGATTGGAAGGAGTTACGGGTTGAATTGTGTGTCTCCATCTCCAATCTCGGTGTTGAAGCCCTAACCCCCAGTAC